GTGTGTGTGTGTGTGTGTGTGTGTGTGTGTGTGTGTGTGTGTGTGTGAGTGAGTGTGTAGTTCACAAATATTCAGGGAGAAGACGCCCTTGACAAAAGGAAAGCAGAAATCAAACAAGGAGTTTCTTTTTTTTTGCACATATATTATATATTTTGTCGAGTTGTCATATAGTCACGCATGAATGCTGTCCCTTGTGGGATACCATACAGTAGGTGACTCTGCACTGTTAGCAACAATAATAGCATTTTTTTTAACCTTAAAGCAACTCAGTGTGCAGTCATAAGCAGTTAAAATATCATCACCACTGTCAAAAGTACACACAACCCACTGTAAAAAAAAACAATGATATATAAATAATGAATAAAGCAGAACTTTAAAAAATGGACCAGTAAAGGAGAACAGCTTAGGTCAGTGAGGAAAACAGTACATCTTCTCAAAAACTGTATAGAAGAAGTGGAAGTTGTTGGTTTGTGGACCTTGAGCCTTGAGTTTGGCTTTTTGCAACCCAAAGTAACACGAGAGGCTGGAGCTAAGTACATCCAACCTTGAATAAGACATTTTTAGGCAAACAGAATGTTACAAATAACTTTCATGAGCTGAAAAAACACTCTAAAGGGTAGCCCCGCCCTAAAGCATATCCTGCTTTATGGTCTATTTGACTCTAAATGGACCATCATTTACTAAATGAACATCATCCTGTATTGAAGAAGACTTGAAACTAGAGATTGAGACCATAAACTCATGTTTACAATGTTTACTGAGGTAATAAATCAAGAGAGAAGTAGAGTCATTTTCTCATAGACTTCTATACAATCAGAGGAGTCGCCCCCTGACGGTCAGTAGAGAGAATGCAAGTTGAAGGCACCTCCGCATTGGCTTCACTTTTCAGGCCCTGAGGTTGCATCTTCTATTCAAAAGTGAGTTTTGTTTCCAGACTTCCAGAAGTTTCTTAAATGTAGTGTATCGATGTGTTACTGTCGCTACAATTTCCTTAGAAAAGGACAAAAATGCACATAAAATCTGATCAACAGGGGGAAAAGAAAATCGCTAATTTGACTGCAAGATGTTTGCAATTGTGCTCGTTAGATGTGTGTGTGTGTGTGTGTGTGTGTGTGTGTGTGTGTGTGTGTGTGTGTGTGTGTGTGTCTGTGTTTGCTCTATTGCTTTGCTCAGTAGTTATAAACAAGATTGTGCTCTGTTGCATTTGAAGCTTCATTGAAACTACACTGTCTGCATTTGTCTCCGTGCCAACATGTTTATTCTGTGCGTAAAGAATCCTGAGCTACAACCGCCTGCGGTGCATCCCAGTGAGGGCGTTCGATGGACTCAAGTCTCTCCGTCTGCTGTGAGTATCCATCCACACTTTTGCCATCCAGAATCTTTTCTACATTTCTCTGACCCTCTTTCTCTCTCTTCCTCTGTATCTTGCCCCCTTCTTAGGTCTCTCCACGGCAACGACATATCACTGATACCAGAGGGAGCTTTCAAAGACCTGTCGTCGCTCTCCCATCTGTGAGTAACGCACACACGTCTTTCTCTAGGACTGAGGACTTTTTACCTTATAGAATTGCAAATTACGGGGAAATACATTACCATGACAAAAGGAGCCTTTTCTCGTCATCCGAGAGGAAAGCATCTCTTCAGCGAGGCTTCTCTGTGAACGGGCCAGGCGGCTGAAAGTAACCGAGCAACCAACCCACATACAGCTATCTCCTTTCTCCTGCTCTCCTCTTCGTCTATAGTATTCCATGATATTTGCTATTGAAAGTAAAGGCTAGTGTTTGTATGCTGGGATTCCTTTCCTCCTCTGAGCAACAAGGGAACAACTGGATTCATTGGATATGGATATTTCTTTGCTAAACAATGGATTTTTAGGGCATCTGCTGAATTGATTTACTGCAAGACAGCCGGGAACAGTTCAATGCACTAACTAAGAAAACAGAAAAGTGGACTTCAGACACTGGAGAACTATTACTTTACTCTCTCCTCACTTTACCAATGTTTATCAAGCACTTTTTTAGTTGCCTGGTTGCCCCAAGGGGCGCTCGCGAGGAACAGCACCATGGATAGCGCTTGTGACAGGCTGCTGCTTGTTTCTAGTTATGTTCCATCTCTACCACAACAGAAATGCAAGCCTGGGAATGGGAAATTCCTTCCTCTTTGACCACTATAATAGTTTGGTCAGATCAAGGAGCAGTAGCCCCAACCAATAAACGCACGTGGACGTAGATCATGTATAACTGTACAGGTATAATTTACCAGAAATTTGAGCAGATTGTGGTGAAGTTTGCTACAGCAACCAAATGTGTCTGCACGAAGCTATCACTAGGGTGACAGTCGGGTTATGAAGGCAGCGCTGTAGAATCACGCCAACATGATTTACAAATCAATGAGCCAATCGTTGCGGAGCACGATTAAAGTAGATGATGCTAATAAGCTCATGCAAGTGCGACTTCAGTGCCCTGCCTGGATCAATGCTCTGTTAAGCTTAGTTCATACTCGCCGTAGTGAAGCTGGTGCGAGGCGTGCGCGTGCCCCAAAATGACGTGATCACGGCCGGCACGTGATTATGCAAGTGGTCATGGCGCTTGGTCGTGGACCTCTGCATTTTTGTAACTTGGCACGCGCAATCACCTGACTGTCATAAATACTTAACTGATGAAAACACTATTTACATGTCTAGGGATTATGCATGTAAATAGATGCTTTAAAAATCTTCATCCAAGTATTTTGCAGCCAAATCAAATAGTTTACAGGATATTCAACATTTGTTTCTTAACAATGCATTTAATTCTTGACTTGTTTCTTTACAGGGCTTCTATAAAGGCTATAAAGTAGTTTATGAATATGAGATATGAGTTTACAGATAATTACAGTCCCTCCTCGGCATGGTGGAGGTTGGTTTATTGTTTTCTGCCGGTTACAACTACAGTCTCTGGTTTACGCCCTCTGGCGTTTTAGAGAATAATGCAGCATAGAGTATAAACGCCTCCTTTCATGCTCGGAAGTTGTGAAAAAAAAGGAGCAGGAGCAGGAAAAACAACTTTATGGCAAGTGTTTTTTGAAGTTTGAGAAAATACCCCCAGCAGCACTGCTACCAGCATGAGATACACTCTAACGATCTCCGCTTCAGTCTGTTAGTTATAGTAGAGATATATAGATTATATGTATAATTTGACAGGGACGTACAACTGAGTCCGTAGGTATTCAGACTTCTTTTGTTTTGGCTCTCTATTCCAGCCCGTTAGATCTATAAAAAAAAAGTTTTCCTCCTGCTATCACAATTGAACATTGTTCTCTCTCTCTCTCTCTCTCTCTCTCTCTCTCTCTCTCTCTCTCTCTCTCTCTCTCTCTCTCTCTCTCTCTCCGGCTGGCAGGGCGCTGGGGGCCAACCCCCTGCACTGCGACTGCCACATGCAGTGGCTGTCAGACTGGGTGAAGAGCGGCTACAAGGAGCCCGGCATCGCCCGCTGCGCCGGGCCCGGCGACATGACCGACAAACTGCTGCTCACCACGCCCTCCAAAAAGTTCACCTGCACAGGTAAAACACACGCTGCCGAACACGCCAGCAGATGAATACACACTTTTATGTTGAGTGTACAAATGCACTTTAATTGGAGTCCAAAAGCAAAGCATGCACACACACATATATACTTTGCAGACAAGCAGACTAATAATATGCATCAAATACACATGTTGATGAGGACTCCCAGAGGAGACCACAAGTTGCCTTTTACAAATCGTAGAACACCCATATTTGCTTTTTTTTTCACATTTATGACGGTGTATTTATAGTTTTTACAGCATTTTATGAGCCGATATCAGTGAGGGTTTTTACTGGTCGACATCCAAACGTTTGTATTTAAATTTATATAAAAAAACTCCAAGATCCCAAAATGTTCTTGTGAGCATGATTGTGGTTGTAGCTCATCATACTGCAAAGTGCCGCTGACTGTTGAACCTTTAAACCTCATGACATCACATTAACTCTGAACATATGACTGAAGCCTAATCTTTAACCTAATCTAACTGACTGCACTGTAGAAGTCCCGGGGCCTTGTGGTTTCCTGGTGCCAGGTAAAGTAGCCGATCGCGTCCCAGTGCCTCCTCCTCAGTCTCTCCTTCCCCCCCAGCTCCTCCCGAGACAGTTCTCCTCGTCCTCTTGAGCCCGGCCGAACCGAACCGCTCTGCTTCCCGTTCACCCCTCGTGTCCTGACCGTTGATGTGCGTCCCAGTTGTTACAGCTTGATGTCCTGTCATGGAATGTGGAAATACGCGTGTGTCCTCTTGTGCATGTCATGACCCTGCAAAGAAAATCTAATTGTCATTTACTCTTGTTTATTACGTAGTTTATATATGACTATTATTATTATTAAGTGCCTACCTTATACTAACAGTGCAGGTATTAATTTTTTCCTTACAAATCAGTATATTTCTCTCATAAACAGGCATATTTCATAATCGCTATTTAAAAATGCCCCAAAAAAATCCCCCCTTTTTTTTTTGCAGTACAAAAAGTTGACTTGCGTTGATGCATGGTTTCATGCAGGTCCCTGATGATGTACAGCTGTCAGTGTGTATGTCTCCCTATGTATTCTGACTCGTCTTACTCCCCCAAATGCAGAACGTTATATAAAGCTACTCCTCTCTTTGGTGTGTGTGTGTGTGTGTGTTTGCGTTGCACAGGTCCGGTAGACGTGAGTATCCAGGCGAAGTGCGAGCCCTGCCTGTCCAACCCCTGCAAGAACGACGGCACCTGCTCCAACGACCCGGTGCACTACTACCGCTGCACCTGCCCCTACGGGTTCAAGGTACAGTCACCTGCGGAAAGCCAAAAGGGTCGCGGTTCACTTGCAGATACTTTATTTTGGAAAGCGCTCAATGGGGTGCGTGTTTGTGTTTTTGCAGGGACAGAACTGCGAGGAGCCCATTCATGCCTGTATCGCTAACCCGTGCCAGAATGGTGGCATTTGCCACCTGAAGGAAGGAGAAGGAAGCAACTTTTGGTGAGATTACATTTTTTTTAAACTGGTTATTATTGTCTATTATCCCTATATTACAGAGGCTTTCTATATCAGATTACTTGTCTCGAGGTGTGCTACTCAACTTTAATAAAACTATGTAATGTCTTCTGTGGGTCTGGTGGGAGGTTTCTGAAGTCTGAAAAAGTAACCTTGACGATAAAGGGAGAATTGTCGGATTCACCCTTTTTGACTTAGATCTCGGGCTCTGTTGCACCAGTGTTTGACCTTTCTTTTTTGAAATCTGTCACTTTTGAGTCCCGCAACTTAATGGAAGTGTGATGCGAAATTTCCGTAGTGTTGTCACATTCTACACATAAAATAAATACAATTGAAATGTGAAAGCTCCCCATATGTCTGTTTTGTCCATTGCATTGTGAAACTTTATGTTCACATGTACTTTGTGGTACGGTAGAGCCAGGAAATAGCTCACCTTCATTCCCTCCTCCTTCTAATCAACTGATTAGCCGATAAGGAACAGGAAATGAGCGTTCATGTGTTTGCTGCAGCCTCAGATCTTTGCGATGAAGTTGGTGAGTAAACTGTTCTCATAAATGACCAAAAGGATGGACACAGCTTTTGATCTGCCATCACTTTCCAACTGGACAAAAGTGAAATGTCCTGGAAAATCACGTGTTGTCCTGGAACATTATTTCAATATTCTCCAATTATTTCAACAAGCTATGTTCAGGATCATAATAAAGTTTAGCTGCTTTTATTTTTATTGTTCTATGAACAGTTTGTCATCATTTCTGAGCACGTGAAAATGATCTGGAGAACAAAGTGGCAACCCGGACATTCGTGTTCATCCGTTGAGCTCTTGCTACTGTACCTGGAGGTTTCTGACGTAAAGCCAGCATCAGTTTGAGAAGATGTCTATTCAGAGATGTTCATTTTAACGAGGAGGTTAAGCTGTTTAGGTGATACAGTAACGGGAGGGGGAGCTGACGCCTCTCTGCACCAGCCACACAGACCGAACCACCATCACGCCGCCTTCTGTCTCTTTCCTTGTCTTCCTCTCCATGTGTGCGTTTCCATCTCTGCATGAGGGTGGAATATTGATCGTGAAGAGCTGTCGTTGACTACATAATGAGATATTGATCCACCCAGTGTGTGCCGCATAAGAGCTCTTTATTAGACTCATGATATACCACTCTGTGTGTGTATGTGTGTGTGTGTGTGTGTGTGTGTGTACGCAGTAATAAACCTGAGTAGTAGTTACAGAGTTGAAGCACGCTTAGGTTAACAGAATAATGACTCTCTACTGGGGATATGTAGATGGAGCTGACACTGCTGTTATGAGTGTGTGTGTGTGTGTGTGTGTGAGTGTCATCCAGAGGTCCCGAAGATTTCCGTTGGCGACGTTCTTTGTGCACGAAATGTGTTCCACCTTTGATACCTCGCTCACATGTGTGTGTGTGTGTGTGTGTGTGTGTGTGTGTGTGTGTGTGTGTGT